CAGCCAGATGAGCGACGTGCAAGAAACCACTGTCGCCACTTGAAAAAAGCATGTTCCGTTGATTAAGGTACACTACTCGATTTGCTAATAAGAATCGAATTTCAATGAGTGGTACTCATGAGAAAGTACGCGAACAGCTGCTGAGCGGCATTCGAAGAGGCGACTAGGACAAAAACGCTGTAGGGATGGCAGACGAAGTTAGTCGGGCCTTCAACACCGAAAATGAATCATGGAATCATAACGTCCTTTCAGAAGACCGATGCTCCAGAAAATTAGTATGCGAACATCAATGGACAACGATGAAGTTCACCGCCAAAAATAGGCTGGATTTCGGCAACTTTTTAAAACCTTGAGACAGATGACCAGTTGATATGTGGTATTAAAGTAATGGCCGATGCTGCCCTTCCCTTCTCCAACGCCATGACCCCGGAACCCGGTTTTAGCGCAAAAGATTCGCAACTGCATAAAAACCAGGATGCTGTTCTTGATTCCCCTATCTACGAGATCTATGAAGGATGCCATTTGCGAAGGTCTGTCGGTTACTGCTGCCTGGAATGTCGATCCGTTTGCGATACACTAAGATTGCTGGAAAGCAACAAAGCATTCTGAATATGCCAGTCTCCCAGCCAGATACAACTGATCCTCTTTAATCCTAATGATTTCTTCTACATGCAGCTCGCTTCAAAGCAACTCTGAAAAAAGCCCTATCATTCGAGGGGGGACCTGAGGGGGGCGGCGGGAGCTGCCACTGGGGATTACGATTCTCTTATAAAAAGGGAAAAAGAGAAGTCTGGAGGGAGGGTTTTCTCGTTTAAACGCTTTTTTGTACATTTATGCAAATGCAAAAACGCGAACTGTGACGACTCATGATGTATGTACATGTGTATTTCTGTGTTGCGTTTCTGTCTGTCCAAGTATTTCAACTCACACAATTAGGTAAGCTTTGAAGCTGAAATTCTGCCAATGAGTTTCCTGGCCAAGTGCTACCCCAGGAACGAGGTACCAACTTTCAGGCGCATTTAAATCTCATGTACGGACACGTGAAAGTTTTGGCAAGAGAACTGCTAACTCAGCCTTCAGTGTAAATAGAAAATGCGCTGTTTTCGCAACGATATCTTACTACATCCCGGCTCATTGCAAAATTATGTATTAGTGTGGGTGAAGTGAATGCAACGAACGGGAACAATAAGGCCAGTCCAGTGAAGCAGATTGCTCTCGTCGATTTCCACACAACAAAACGTCCTCGAGTCCGACGACTTGATATCGGTCAATTCCTAAACACAGCAATGAGCGATTAAAACAAACAATTTAATAGTGTGAAAATAAAAGTTAAATTTTAAAAGAGAATAAAAGGGGGCTGTTATAAGTATGAGTAGGGGAGAGTTGAAGAATTATGAAAACTGAGAAATTTTCCAAAAAAAACAAGGAAGAAATGTTTCGGTCCATGAAGTCGTATATCCAACTACTGTTCCGGAAAGTGGGCCCTGTGGCTGTTCCGAGATGTGGATTACGCAGCTGTACTTAGGAGGCGGGTGCCATTGGCTGTTCTAAGGGGGAAACCGCTCAGAATATCTCGTTTATTTGTCACAGTGAATCATATTAAACGCGTTTTACTTGCAGGCCATTATAGAAGCATTTTTGTGCCTTCATTTCTTGCCAGTGCCAAGCCTGATCTGTATGGAGGTCCAGTGCCAAGCCTGATATTGAAAAGCTTGGCACAGTTGTAGCCTATATATGAGAGCATTCTAACGGCAACACTGTCATCTCCCCAAAAGGCCAAAATATCTATGCCAAAGAATCGAATCACATCACCGAAGAATCGAACCCCCCCCCC